ACTTCCTTTCTTCCTCAATATTAGAGTTGATAATAAATTATAGATTGTATAACATTATATATTCATACTACGTTTTTGTATATATGGGGGTCAGGGTGAGGAGAGGGATAATTCATCTCAATGTATTGTTTTGAATCTTGTATAAAATAAGTGAAGTTCATTAACCAGCTCTTATTTCACACCAAAAGAGAGTAGTTGTCCATGCTACACAGTAAGCAGACACATGGACAGTATATAGAAATCCATATATCCTATCAAGTTTCAGATCAAAACTGAACAAAACTAAGAAGGATATTTCCTCCCTGCTCCCCCCCTCCCCAGTATACATCTTTTCATTTTATGTGGATATAGCAGCATTCAGTCTCAATTAAGCTGCCAGGATCTTGAGATAATAGCAGCAGGAAATTCTCACAAGATAAATTCAAGATGGTAGCTACAACTTGTCTTTATCAGGATGGATTAAAAGGAGACCATATTTTGAAGTGTATATAAACTCTGAGTAAAACATATCCAGCATTTATATTGGAACAGCAAAATATCTCATTTCACTACCCTGCCATAGCTAATATATATATTTTGCCTTGAACACATTCTGTTTATAGTCTGCAGAGGACAAGGTTTATTTGGATGGGGTGTGTTTTGAGTTCATGTAGGTTTTCTTCCTTGAACTGCAAAATATATTCCACAGCGTCTTGTGTCATTTTGCCCAGCTTTTCTGTCTGTAGCCGTGCCAAGGTTTATCACCGCTCACTTCTGGATAGTGTTAATAATGCGGTCACTTCCTGTCTGCAAAACAATTGTAACATTCACCAGATTTCCCTGTATATTCCAAGAGAAGTCAGGGAACACTATCTGAAACAGTAAAAAAAGGAAGGAGGGGAAACCCCTGATAAGAGTATTTATAGAGAAATCTTTAATACAATATTCTTGAACATGCTTGTGTCAAATAAATGAGAAAGGAAGGGAAGCTGTTTCCATGCAGATCTTTAGCTTGCTAAATGGACTCTCTTTCTCTGTGTTGTGATTTCTGCATTTGTCATGGAAGCAAGCTTCCTGTTTTCATCACTTAGTGCTGCATATTGTATATATTAGTGGGAAGTGGAAACCAAAAAAGAAACTATGAAGTGATGAAGGGGATCTTGGTAATCCGTTATCCCTGCTCACCTTTGTGACTGCACAAAGTACAAAATTAGAACAGACGTCAAGTTCACTGGAACATATGTTTAAAATTTCCCCCTTTTCCAGTAGAAGAAGAAAGACTTATTTCATGAAGAAAGTTTTTTGGAAAAGAGAGCAATAGAACCAGTGTTTTTAGACAGTGGACATAGTGATCTCATGGACATGACCCTTTAGACACCCATATATATATATATATATTATTTTTATAGAATCATGGAATCTTAGAGTTGGAAGGACCTGCAAGGGTTATGTAGTCCAACCCCCCACCATGCAGGAATACACAACTACAGCCCACTTCAAAGAGGCTCATCCAACTTATGTTTAAAGTCCTCCAAAAAAGGAAAGTCCAACCCTGCAAGGCAGTTTATCCCACTGTTGAAAGTTCAGTTCAGTTTCAGCTACATAGGACACTGCTAACATTCCCTCTTCCCCACTGCCATTCCATGCTTTGCAGCTGCTTCTACAGCACTGGTATGTTAGAATAAAAACAAGAAAATGAAAGTAAACCTGTTTGTCCATTCTTTTAAAAAAGAAAGAAAATAAAGCAATACTCACAGCATGCACAGTTTCAAATGACAAAACTCACACTGAAATCCTAATCCCATCATGACTGCAGAAGCAAAATGGAGCTTGGTTTTGTTGCTCCACTGGTAAACTCATTACTTGGGAGTAGGCACAATTTTCCCATGAATTGCACGAACTTTCTGCAGTGATGGGATTGCATGCTCCATAGCAAGAGGTTATGCTGATGTTTGCAGTGGTGTTGGCAGGGTCTATGATGTCAGACAAACTTTTGCTGAGGAGCCAGATTAAATGTGCTCAACAGCTATTGGGCAGAAGCAGTAGTGGAGGATGACAATGGTGGAGGATCTTTCAGAGACATTGGCATGACACCATAGCTAAAACTTGTTAGTACTGCCCAGCAAGAGGCACAGTAAACCCCTTTTCAATTTTTTTTTACCATAAAGATCCTGTGATGAGTCAGTCAAAAATGAAGAAAGAATTAATGTCAGTAGATGAAACTTCCAGTTTGTATGGCACAGAAATTTAAACCAAGAGTGAGGATGCTCTACAATCAGCAAGGGAACACATTATATGACCAAGTAGAAATAAAAAGATGATGGAAACAATACACAGAATAACTATATCAAAGAGATGAAAGGGTGACAGGTTCATTTGAGAAAGAACCATATGAAGATGAACCTCCAACTTTAGAAAGTTAAATGGAAGCTACACTCAGAGCACTTAGGAGAAATAAAGGAACAGATGGCACATTGGTACAGAAGACTGGAAACAAAATACATTCCATTCCCAAAGAAAGGAGACAGTAGGAATTGTAGTAACCAAAGGCCCATGCAAGCAAAATGATGCTCAAAATTCTATAACAAAGGACTTGATCACATGGTGAAAAAGGACAGGAGCATAGCGCTATGCTCCCGTTAATATTGCGTAATAACAGAAAGATTTTTACATGACATCGTGTGACATCACCATTATCACACAATTATCCAGTGAATAAAGTGGCAAAACTATGCCACTTTTTATTCATGGGAAAATCCCATGAATAAAAAGCAGTGCAATTTTGCTGCTTTATTCATGGGCTAATCGTGGGATAATGGCGATATCATGTGAAAATCTTCCCGTTATTCTGCAATATTGATGGGAGCATGGCACTATGCTCCCATCTTTTTTCACCATGTGATAAAGTCCAAAGACTTTTATCATATATGGAGAGATAAATGCCAAATATCCAAAATGAGTTCAAGAAAGAAACAGACACTAAGGATTATACTGTAAAGATACATTGAATAATAGAATCAAAACCAAAGAATCAAAAACAAAAACAGCCTGTGAATTATAGAATATAGCAAAGTCTTTAATTTCATGGTTATGTATAGTTCATGTATAGTTCATAAGAAACTATGGATCGCTATTAAAAAAATGTGTGTGCCACAACATTTGATTGTCCTAATGCACAACCTGTACTCAGGACAAGAGGCTACCATTAGGACAGAAGACAGAGAAACAGAATGGTTTCCAATTGGCAAGGGAGTTGTGCAAGGTTGCATTTTATCACCCTATTTTTTAACTTGGATGCTGAATATATCATACGTAAAGCAGGATTAGACTTGGAGGAAGGAAGCATGAAAATTAGAGAAGGAAACAACAATTTAAGATATGCAGATGACATCATACTACTAGCAGAAAAGAGCACGATTACTGCTATTGGAATGATTATTGGAACGATTACTGAAGAAACTAAAGGAAAAAAGTGCAAAGCAGGTATACAGCTGAACATTAAGAAAACAAAATTAATGTCCACATATTACTTACATAACTTTAAAGCAGATGATAAAGACACTGAAATAGTTCAAGATTTTCCATAGCTTGGCTCAGTCATCAATCAGAATGGTGATTACTGTCAAGAAATAAGAAGTCTGGGACTTGGAAGGGCAGCTATGAAAGAAGTAGACATGTTCCTGAAGTGTAAAAATATATCATTGAACATGTCAATTCAGTTGATCTTCTTCCTAACAGCTTTATTCACTGTACAGCTTTTATAACCATACATGGCATGGAGGATTCTGACTTTCAAATTTAATTATATATTTACTGAATATTTACTAGGAACAAAATGGATATTTAAAATATATAGGCTGTTCCTATAGAAGAAAACCACAGTCTTTTCCATGGGCAATGTTGTTTGACTGCCCAATTGAATTGGTACACCTCTTGTTCTGTCAACTGATACTTTTTACACTGCTCTACTTGTTGTAAGTGAAACCTCAATATCTTCTTCAGTTTTGAACCCTAGTTTTTAACAGGAAAATTGAGAAGGATTTATGATAGCATTTCCTAAATTTCTCCTAACTTGTTTTCTGCAAAGTGAGGAGTCACAAGCAAGGTGACAAATAGCCAAAGAGGGGTTAAGCAGTAGGTAGTGCTCCATGCATTTTACATAATGTGATCATGGCATATTGGAAGAGTTTCTCTGCAGTCTTAGGCACTCCCAATATATTTTCATTCACTGTATTATCTGAAAAAGTTTGTACATATAGAGAATTCTTTTCTGTACCTTGGGAAATCCTGCTTTACCTGGATTTGTAGTTTTGCTGTTTTGTGCCTTCAGGTCATTTCTGACTTGTGGCAACCCTAAGGCATTCACCTGTCATTGGTGAAGTTTCTTCAGAGGGGTTTTGCCATTGCCATCCTCTGAGGCTGAGGGAATCTGACTTACCCAAGGTCACCCAGTAGGTTTTCCTGGATGAGCCAGGATTCAAACCATGTTCTCCCAGTGCTCTAGTACACCACACTCACCAAACTACAAGCACCAGGATGGCAATGGATGCAGCCATGGTACTTAGAATGGAATCATAGTGCCATATTTGTGTACTGCAGGAGGGCCACTGGAATCTTAAGGTGAGGATGCCCACTTCCTATTTCATATCCCAGTCATGCACTTTCCATTCTAGTTGAAATTAACTGGTGCAAAGGAGGTTGGTCTTTCTGTGCCCAGGAGACTACTGCCATATTGCTATATGGACAGAGAGAGAGAGAGAGAGAGAGAGAGAGAGTTAAACAATTGTTGTTATTTTGTTATTGTATTCATTCTTATCACATCTTTCTCCCAGTATTGGGGCCAAGGGCAACTTTTTGTTTGTTGTTGTTGTGTGCCTTCAAGTAATTTCTGACTTATGGCGATCCTAAGGCAAGCCTGTCCCAGGGTTTTCTTGGCAAGATTTGTTCAGAGGAGGTTTTGCCAGTGCCTCCCTCTGAGGCTGAAAGAGTGAAACTTGCCTAGGTCACCTAATAGGTTTCAGTGGCTGAGCAGGGATTTGAACCCTGGTCTCCAGAGTCATAGTCTAACACTCAGACCACTACAGCAGGTTGGCTCTGTTTTTTCTTACAGAATACTATAACCAACACAAATTAATATGCATACAAAATTATATAACTTAAAAAGCAGTTAAAAAACAAAATCAATATGACAGTGCACCATTAAAAGCCCATTGCAATCAATTCCTAAAAGTCTGTCAGAATAGAAATATTTTCATTGGTTGGTAGAAGGACACCGAAGATGTCTTACTACAGACTCTTACTACAGAGAAAGTTCCAAAGCCTGGGAGCAGCCACTAAGGCCCCATTCACACTACGGAAATAAACCAGTTTGGAACTGGTTTACTTCCATGAAGTTCACATTTGCTCTGACTGCCCTTGGTACAGTTTGTGGGGAAAGGGGGCAGTGGTGACTAAAAGGCCCACTTAAACCGGTGTATTTGGCACCAGACCCCTTAGCAGTTCTTTTTTAAAGAGTCGCAACAATCTGCATCTTCAGTAGTGTGAGAATGCTACTGAATTGATTCAGATCGCACTTCATCATTCCCAGAAATGGAAGTGTCTCCATTTTAAATCAATATGGTAGCAAATGTGCATGGCAACAGGGTTAAAATGGCACAGATAGATTTGATAGTGGTAAACATATTGGGAACACCAAACCACTTCTCAATTGGTTCTGAACTGGTGTGGAGATGCGGATTTCTTCATTCAAAAAAGGAAGTGTGAATGACCCCTAAGAAAGCCCTCTCTTATGCTCCCATCAAAAGAAATAATACCCCAGACTTTATGAGATACAAATTGGGAAAGGAAGGAGGAGAGGGGGATGTAGTTGCAAGCTTTCATCCGCTTGCGTTCTCAAGTTGACTAGTTTGCGGGATAACATCTCCTTACATATTTGCCAAAGGAACCTATGATTCTGCCATTGAATCATTTTTCTTTCTAGAAGATAGACAGAGGAGTCACGTAAACATAATTGTTTTCTTTATCAAAGTCAGGAGCGGTTTTAGTGAAACAATAAAAGATTGTTAGAGAGTACTTATGGGAGCATCTTGTTCTCAAGTGTCATGTTCCTGGTACATATAAATGCTAGCTGGGTCTTCTGCAAAGTCTAGCTATGAAGGTTTTTAAGCCATGGAGATCTGATCTCTTTTATGCAAGTGTTCCAGTTGTTGTGAGTTGTCTATATTTTTTCCCATTGGTTGACACTAGAAAGAACTAAATTATTGTTCAATATAGTTATCCCAAAAGGCATATCCTGACTTCACCATCACATTTCAGTTCTATCTGGTATAAATACTACAGAGTATCTATACAGAGTATTTATCCAGTTATATATATGATCCCTTGTTTTGGTCCTGTATATAGCTGTGGGTATATATACAGAGGGTCTTGGAGATGTCTCATCCAAGAGGTCGCCATGAGTGGAGATCAACTCAAGAGCAGTTAGCAACAAAATCTAATTCAGGGTGGTCAACCCCAGATGTTTTGGACTACAAATCCCATTAGCTCTAGTTGACATATCTAAAATTGAAGGCTTATGGTAGTTGTACGCCAAAGAAAATCTATAGTACCACAATTCCCCCTCCTGCTTCAAATCATCATGGAATCATAGAACTGCAAGAGATTACAAGGGCTATCCAGTCGAACCATCTGCCATGCAGGAGTACACAAACAAAGCACTTCTGACAGATGGTCATTGAAGGCAAAAAAGCAAAGCAGCTTCATTTATATACCACTTCATATCGTGCCATGGGATGTCTAAGCAGTTTACAACTGTAAGCTCATTGCCTCCCAACAGTTGGGTACTCATTTTAGCGACCTCTGAAGGATGCAGGCCTGAGTCTAGCCTGAGCCCTGGCTAGTATTGAACTCACAACCTTGTGGTCTGTGAGTGAGTGGCTGCAGTACAGGCATTTAACAACTGCGCCACCAGCCTCTTTAAAAACTCAAAGAAGGAGACTTCACAACATTCTGAGGTAGCCTTTTCCATTGTCGAACAGCTCTTATTGTCTTCCTAACATTTAGGTGATATCTCTTTTTCACTTAACATCCCTGATGCTCTTTTTATACAGTAGCAAAAAAATTTCTAATGCAAAAATTTTGATCATGTTTTGGGTGCAATTAAACAATAAAACCTTAGCATACTAATTTATAGATTGAAATTATTCCATTAAATGATTACAGATTATTCAGGCAACATTTTTTACAGTTATGATTATAAACTTTAAATTTTATTTTAAAAATAAAGGTGCAGACACCCCTACACTCCACTTTTCTCTGACCCTGTTCTGACTTATTGGTGAACCACAGTATTTTGGCTGAGAACAAATGTTTTACTCATATGTATGTTTAACTAATTGATTCACCAGTTAATTAAGCAAAACTCATGAATTGTTTGTTAAAAATAAAAGACTAATATAGCCCTATTTCTTTATACTGTATGAATAACATGATTTTATCTATACATACACCATGAATTATGGCACATGATGTTCATTCTCCTAATTTACAGAGAAGTCAAGCAACCTTGTAATTAAACTGTATTTGTTACAGTTCCACAATAATTCATTCTATTCCAGGGCATGTGCACACACACACATTTTGGTGGAATGGTGAAGAAATTAATTAGGCATAAATTCTACTACTAGATCTAATCAGAGTAGATCTATTGAATTAATGGAAGCTTAACAAGTGTGGGTGTAGCCACACTGCAGAATTAATGGAGTTTGACACCATTTTAACTCCCACACTCTATCCTACAGAATCCTGGGATCTGTAGTTTGATGAGTTCCAGAGCTCTCTGACAGAGAAGCTCAATACCTCACCAATCTACAAATCCCAGGATTCTGTTGGATAGAATCATGGCAATTAAAGTGGTGTAAAATTGCTTTAATCCTCCAGTGTGGCTATACCCTAAGGTACGAGGGTATAGTGTAAAGTTTTAATTATCACCTTTAAAAAATTGACAGAAAGTTTGTTT